TCTAGTGCAATGATTTTGCAGATGAGGAAACTGAGGTTCAGAGAGGGAGATGACTTGCCCAAGAGCATACTGCTGGTCAGTGGAATAGCAGGGATTCGATGCCTGCCCTTTTGATTCCTGACCTCATGCTCTCTCTCTGCTTTCTTAGGATCCCAGGTTTGTAGTCTTAGCAAGGAACCTTAGAGTCAGCTCATCCACGTAAGCCCACTCTGGTCCCTTCCAGCTCTGGCAACCTAGGATTTGATGAGAGGGGAGTAGGCAGCTGGATTCGGCCACACTGGGTTCGGAGTCAGAAAACGTGGGTTGGGATGCCACCCCTAAAGCTTGCTTGCTGTGGCACCTCAGAGGTTAAATAGCTCACCCATGGCTGCCCAGGTTTAGGGGGTAGACTCGGTTTCAAAAAGGGTGGTGAACTCAAAGGGCTGGACACGCCCCTTGAAGCCAGACCCCATGGTTTAGGGGATGAAGTTTCCCTGCTGTTAACTGAAGGCTTGGCACACAGGCCAAATGGCTGGCAGGAAAGAATGATCCCTCTTTGCTTTTTCCCCATGGCTATCCCCAGACGGAGAGCTTCACATAGGTGTGGTCCGAGGACACTGGCCTCCTGGCATTCCTCAAGTTCCATGCATTTTCCTTGGCTCTCCCCTAGGCCTGGAATTCTCTTCCTCCTCACGTAAGATTCTTAGCTCCCTTGGCTTCCTTCAGGTCTCAGTTAAGATCACACCTTCTGCAAGAAGCCTTTTCTGGTCTTCCTTAATGTTTGTGCCTTCCCTCTGTGATGATCCAATTTATCCTGCCTATGTCTTGTTTGTACATAGTTAGATTTTTTTGTCATCTCTTCCATTAGACTGGCAATTCCTTGAGGACAGGGGTTGTGTTTGGTCTTTCTTGGTATCTCCAGCACTTGGCACAATGCCTGACACATAGTAAGCATTTAATAAATCCTTGCAGACTTGACTCAACTTAATCTAACGGGCAGTGGGGCTATTATCTGAGTGGTACTTTTAAATTAAATTACATTAACATTTTTAATATAACTGTCATGGGGCTGCACTTGGGCACTTCTCCTAGAGCTGGGCATCCATTCTGGTCTCCAGCTAAAGGACATGTATGACATAGCATCTCCTAATTGGTCACTTGGTCCCTAGGCCTGGGGTTACGGTGAAGATGACTCAGCCAGGAGGAGTTGCCCACTCAATAGGCCATCAGAGAGCAAACAGCTTTATTTCTCTTCTACTTTGGCTCTTTTCCAGCCTTTCCCTTTAAATTCTAGTGGCAGGGGACAGAAAAATTTTCTCCCTCTCACCCAGTGGTAATGGTGGCCTGGCCCACAACTCAGGTTTATAGCAATGAGAACAGTTTGCTTAGGTGAAACAGAGAGTCTGACTGCTTTCTTCTACGTTCATGTTTCTTCCTGGGCACAGGTCTGCAAACAGCAACCAGCCGTCCTGAGCAATGCATATTCTCAGCCTTGGTGGTGACTACCTTGTGAATGCAAGCATTCCTGAGCTCCTGAATTAATTCTGGCCACCCAGCATGAGGTGTTTCCTCAAACTACATTGCTTCTTAGCGGGCAAGGTGACTGCCAGTCAGATCATCCTGAACTTAAAAGGAGTAAAGAGCCATCCCTGACTGGCCAGCAGAGGTGGAACTTAGGAATTGCTCAGATAAGTGGAGGTCTAAGGTGAATGTCTCCTCAGCAGTCTTACACCACACCTTTGCCTTTGGGAAAGATTATAATGATGGGGATGGGTTATGGCTGTATGTTTTAATTAGGTATCTGTTAATGAATGCTTATGGATCTTTTTCTGCTTTAAGCATTTCTTTTGTGGTTGAGACAATGAAAAAAGCTCTCTTATACCCAATAAGTATTGCATATTTAGTATCTTTTCTAGAAAGTGCTCTTTATGAGGAGGTCCTAGACCTAAGCATTGTTGAGAGTTGCGGGTCAGCATGCTGTGGTCCTTGGGCCAAATTCAGCCCATTAGATTCTAAGCTGTACAAAAACAGGAGATGGGCTGGATTTGGCCATTGGGGGGAAGTTTTCTGACTCGTGGTTTAGAAATTTTCCCTGGAGTTCTAATTTAGGGAAGGGGCATAAATCGCCAAAGAGATGAGAAAAGCCTGACTCCTCTTTTGGTGAACCCAGGATGAATTTGGGCCCTGTGTGAGTGCAGAACACAGGGCCCTTGTGGGAAAGGGCTTTCCGAGGTCACATCTCATGACCTGGTCCATATTTGTCCTACTTTTGGAGCTAGCTTGTTTGTCCTAGATTTGGGTAAGTTCAGAATTCCATTTGGAATGCTCCGATGTTTTTCAGTGATAGAAATGGTATACCTTATGTGTCACAGGTACCCACTGGAAATATTTCGTTAGGACCTCCACCTGTATTTCCTTGTGAATTGGAAGAGATCTAGTGAAGAAATGTATGGGAGGAATTTTCACCATGGATTGTTTGATTTATCACAAGAAGGTAAGGGACTGAATTCTAAGTTTTGTTATGAAGACACCTTATGATCTGGGACCTCATTTGGGACTATAAATTACTTTCCCTTCAAGAAAAGAACTATTTTTTTTCTTTTTTTCCCTTTTGCTAGGGTTGTTTTTATAATTTTAATTTTGTTTTCTCCTAATTATTTTGGGTTGGGACAGACACTACAAAGCAACAGGCAGGAGATGATCTATGAGAACTTGGTAAAATGTTGTTTGCTTATTATGTTTGTATAGTTTTGTAAATGGGGTTAAGTATAATCTCCAGACCCACCAGGCAGGGTAGGTTTTGGGCCTCACAACAGTGTGTTAACTTCGGGATTTTTAAAAAAAACAACGCTGAATAGAATGCTGGAACTCTTGGCATGGCATTCACGTGACCATTAAGAATCGTACCACATGGGCTCTGGTGAGACTCTTTAGTTCAAGGCACTGTAGGAAGCACATAAAAGAATGTTGGGGCTTCCCTATTCAGGGTTGGGAATATGGGCAAATGGCCCCCAATGCCCCAGATGATCTGATGGCAACATTATCGAATATAATGGGAATGAACGAAGTTGGACATCACCAGTGTGTTACAGTGTAGTGTTATTTCTTGAGTCAGAGGACCTGGATTTAAATTCTGATTCTGCCATTGACTTCCTTATGTGAACTTAGAAAGGTCACAGCCTCATTTCCAATGTTAATGCCTTTAATATGTTTTTCCTTGTCTTACTCTTCCCCCTTATTTTATCCTTTGGAGCATCAGATCCTGGAAGACAGGGACCTGTTCATTTTGTCTTTGTATATCCAGAGCCTGACACAGTACCTGGCACATAGTAGGTTGGTTAAATTGAATTAGGTTTCAGCTTTCTTTCCTAAAATGATGAGGCTGGCAGAGACAGCCTCCCTAGCTCTTAGTCTATCTTGATGACAATGTCATAGCCATGTTTTCGGAGTCAAGATCCAAAGCTTTCTCCACTATCTTGCTTTCCAGGAAATCTTTGGCGTACTGCATTTTTAACTGAACAAGACATTTCCTCAGGTTCTCAACATGTTTTCTCTTGATAAATGTATTTCTCAAAGCTGCCATAGAGATTTTTCCTAAAGTACAAGTCTGACCACACCACTCTCCTATTCAATAAACTCGATTGGCTCCCTATTACCTCTAGGAACAAATATAAACCCTCTGTTTGTAATTTAATCTGGCCCCATTCTACCTTTCCAGTCTCATTACCTATCAATCTTCTTCATATACTCTATAGTCCAAACAAATCAACCTTCTTGCTGTTTCTTATATGCAGGACTTCATCTCTCATTTCTGCCCCTATGCACTGGCATCCCTCATGCCTGGAATGCCCTCCCTCTTTATCGCTGCCTCTTAGAATTCTTCACCTCCTTCAAGAATCAGCTCAAGCACCATCTTCAGCATGAAGCCTTTCCTTGTCATGCTGGCCACTAGTATCCTCCCCAGCCAAGTCACCTTGAATCTGGTCTGTATATCTTATATCCATGCATGCGGTCTCCCTGATTCAATGGAAGTTCCTTGAGGGACACATCTGGCACATAATAGGAGCTTGAGGAATGCTTAATTGATTAATTAATTGATTAACCAATGGCTGATTGGTGGCCCAGGTCATAAATTATGTCAAAACTTCATTTTGGCTTTGATAGTTTTTTCCTCTAAAACTCTCATCCTCTTTTTTCTTTTTTATGTCACTTTTATTTTAAGTCCCTTTTTTCAATTCTTAAGCATTTATTTTCTCCCCCTCCCAATTTCTCCCCTACCTCCATTGCAAAAAACAAACAAACAAAATCCAACCTTGCCCTTTTCTCCTTAGTGGAATGGTTAGAGAGAGAGATAGGTGCTTCAGCCCACTGTGCCTGGCATGTGGAAGGTGCTTAATAAATGGATCTTGACAACTTGATTGTTGGTTGATCCAAGAAGGAAGGATTAAAGCTTCTCCTTTTTCAGATTCCTCATTCACTTTGAGGTTTACAAAGCACTTTCTCCTCCATCATTTACTGAACCAGTCAGTGCAAGGCTAGCATTTCCATTTACAGATGAGGAAACTGAGGTACAGATGGTTTGAGTGACTCGTCCAAGGTCACACAGAAAGGCTACGAGTACCCTCCCTAAATCATGGGCCGGAAGGGACTTAAGCGTCCATCCAATAGGACCCCCTTAGTTACAAATAAAGAAACTGACCACACAGATCCGGTCATAGACCCACAGACAGAAAGGACCTCAGAGACCACCCAGCCCTACTCCCTCATTTTACAGATGACAACACGGAGTTCCCTGAAGTTACGTGACCTGACCAGGATCACACATCAAAGCATGCGTTTGATCATGGTCTTCTGGCACTGCCACATACCCAAAGCTTGGCTCCATTGGATTTGCTCAGAGCCCTTAGTAAGAGCTGACCTCTGATTCTAATTCTGGAAGTGGGGTTCTCCTGCAGAGATCCAAGATGACTGGGTGGAGCACCCATACCCCCACGATTGAGAGGAAGAGGCAGTGCACTTACGGAGGAAATACTCTGCTGTGTCGGCTTCATAATCTGCATCCTCAGGGAAGTGATCAATTTGCTTACACAGACCTTTAAAATTCCCTGCAAAACAAGGAAGGAGAAAGCAAATGAGTATATCCAGAGCACCAGGGACCCTAGCTCCCACTTGTCTCTTTCTGTCTTCATTGCCTCTTAAAAACCCATCGCCCCCTCCCCTCAAAGAACAATCCTCAAACCTTCCCCTTGGTTCATGCAGGCATCGGGCAGTCCAGGACCCGGGGCCCTGGGAGAGACTTTAAGGGTCCGGCTTCTATGCTTAGAGCTCTCCTCCTGGGGGTTATCTGTGCCTTGATTAGCAGGAAGAGTTTTTATCCCGGTCTGAGGACTGTCACTGAAGCGACAATGAAGCCCTAGTCAACTCGATGTAGCTGATGCCGTGAATTCTCTGTTGTTGTGAACGGTGAGGGAGGCAGGGTGGCTAAGCTGGGGACCAGGAAGGGCAGCACTTGTGCTAGTAGTCCCGAGGTGAGGGGGTCTACTGTGATGTCTTTCTCCCATTCTGAGACAGTCTGCAGGCCATAGATGAAAGCACCTCAGGGCTAGGGGTTTGCAAAGTGGCCTCTATGCAGTGGCAACTGAGCTGATTATGTTGGCAGGAGGCAGGGCGAGATCACCAGGTGAAATCTCTTCCTGGAAGATCAGTGCGCCTCTCTGATGTTTCTGAGCAGATTTTCTTTGTTGCCTGTTTGTGTTTTTCTGTGTTGTATGTGTCTCTGGGTAAGTCTCTTGCAAAGGACTGTGTTCTAAGATGCCTGAAGTCTCAGGCACATGAAACATCTAAGGGTTTGGATGATGATGACTCTATCACAAAGTCTTAAAAAATTAAAAAAATTTTAGTTCTAGATTCTCCCCTTTTCTCTACCTCCCTCCCCAACCCATAAAGAAGGCAGGAAAAATGATATGAAGTCATGCTAAACGTATTTCCACATTAGCCATGTTCTGGGGGAAAAAACAAGAGAAAGAGAAAAACAAAAGCTTCAGTCTGCACTCTGAGACCATCAGTTCTCTATCTGCAGGATCACAAAGTCTTTGGTAACTCTGTCTGAGACTTGTTTTCTGTTGTTCTGCTGGTCAGAGGTCACAGGACCCTAACAACGGTTGAGGAATGGGATGGAGAGGTTATTCAAATCCTCCAGTTATGAGAATTACCATACAGATATTCGTGAACAATTAAAAATCTTAGAGTAACAACAAAACATATTAACATGGAAATGTCACTGAATGCTCATTCAAGTCTTATAGCCATATCCTGCCTCACCCAGACAAATGTCATTCGGCAATAATATCATTGCTAAGGTATAACTGAATCCTACTGTAATGCCATTGGATTGATTGCCTTGTATGCAAAGGAGATAATTCCATGAACTATAGAAATAACCATCCCCTGAAATAGGCTGTTTCACCTACAATTGGGTTTTGTGGGACTAATTAGAAGTGTTAAATAGGGTGAGGTTATATCAGATCCTACTATGTGCCATATACTGTGTTAGATCCCAAGGATCCTCAATCTGAAAGGGGAGATGAAAAAGGCACATAAATCACTTTGAAAAATAAATTGTGAAAATATATTTAGTTTATATATATGCTTGTATAATGTAAACATTTATATAATAATGTGTGCATATTACTATATATAATTGTATTATATTAACTGGGCTGGGCTGAACTATATTATATATGTGTATACACACACACTTATTATATATGTATACACATACACACATATATACAATAAAAGCCATGAGAGGCAGTATGGTATAGTGGATAGAAAGCTGGCCTCAGAGTCAGGGAGACCTGGGTTTGAATCCTGCTTGACACACAGGAAATCAAAGAAAGCTTCATGGAGGAGGTGGCATTTGATCTGGGTCTTGAAGGTTATATGGGACTTTAACTGGTCTAGACTAGGGGGAGGACATTCCAGGCCTAGAAAACAGGATAAGCGGAGGCTGCCTAACGTCAGAAAAGTGTGAGATGTGTTCGTGCAACAGTGAGTGCACAGGTTTGACTGGAGTAGAGTATATAAAGGAGCAGCTAGGTGGCGCCACAGTGCACAGAGCACCAGGCCTAGAGTCAGAAGGACCTGAGTTCAAATGCAGTCTCAGACACTTGCTAACTGGGTGACCCTGGGCAAGTCACTTAACCCCGACTGCCTCAGTTTCCTCATCTATAAAATGAGCTGGAGAAGGAAATGGCAAACCGCTCTAGTATCTTTGCTGAGAAAACCCCAAATGGGGTCACAAAAGAGTCAGACATGACTGAGAATGATTAAACAGCAACAAAGAGGTGTAGCTAAAGCTGTAAATGCCAGCTGGATACAGATTGTGAAGGCCTGTGGAAATCAGGTTTAAGCATTTGGACTTTATTTGGTAGGAAATAGGGAGCTATCAGAGGTGTTGAAGCATGATCACATCTGTGTAATTTGGCAGGGTGGCCTAGATGGAATTGGGAGAAGCCTGGAGGCAGGGAGACAGTTTAGCATGGTATTGCAACAGTCCAAAAAAGAAAAAAAGTCTAGGGAGGTTGTGACTCCAATTGCAATAGTCCAAAAAACTAGAAAAAAAAAAGGCCAAAACAATATCCATCATAAATGTAATAATGTTGATAAAAAGATTGTGTAAGTATAATGACCAGTTTTAGCCTTGGGGCAGAGATAAAGAAATGCACCTCCCTCCTTTCCTTGGAAAAGTGAGGGATGATGGTGGCAGATTGTCACAGGTGCCGTTAGATGGGCTGTTTGCTTGTCGGATGAGAAGGTTTATAGGGTGGCCATATGCAGAAATACATCCACCTGAAATAGACTGAAGTGTAAAAAACCCAAGAGGCATCAATAGAACTTTGGATTTTAAAAAAATAATGAAGGCTTCTTCCCTGACTTAGCTTGGTGGACACGGGAGAGGGAAGGAGATCGATATGAGAAATTCTGTCCAGAGAGAATCAACAGGCCTTAGTAACAGGTTGGGTGGGGATGAAGGAGAGGGGAGACAGCAGAGTGACCGCAAGGATCTGACCCTGGGTCACTAGGAGGACAGACAAACACCCGATTCCTTGAGGGAGGAGACTTGAATTTTTGTCTTTGTCTCACTGTGCTGAGCACAGTGCCTGGCCCATAATATCTGCTTAACTACTCACTCACTCACTCAATCAATAGGCGTTCCTCAAGTCTAGGACATTCTATGTTCCCAACTCTGGATGTTTTCACTGCTGTCCCTCTTTATGTTCTCTCCTTTAGGACTCAGCTCAGGTCACACCTTCTATAAAAGACCTTGCAGCCTGTCCCCTCTGAGGTTACCTGCCATCTCTTCTGTCTGTCTTGTATTCCAAGTTCACTCTTTCATTAGATTGTAAGCTCTTTGAGGGCAGGGACCCTCATTTTTTTTTCTTTTCTTTCTATCTCCATTGCTTAGTTCAGGGCCTGACATTTAGAAAGTGGTTAATAATGCTTGTTGACTGACTCACTAATTACCAAGTACTGGGATTCAAAGACCAAAAAATAATTAAATAAAACTTAAAATAAAAATTAAATAAAAAATTTGGAACTGAAGGTAACCTCAGAAGACTTAGGGTGCAACCCTCCCATTTTACAGATGAGGATGCCCAGAGACATTAAGAAACTTGCCCAGGATCAAACAGCTAGTAAGTGTCTCAGGCAGGATTTGAGCCCAGGCTTTCCTGACTCCAAGTCTGGCACTCTAACCATCATACCTTGCTGTCTCTCATAGGCAGGTCGGGTAAGAACTCACCCAGGGTGCTACCCAAAGACACCTAACTAGGTGCTAAGGTCAGTTGTGTTTATTTGCTGAAGGGTTCACTTTCTATGCTAGCTAAAAACTGGAAATAAAGTGAGTTCCCCTCCATTGGTGAATGACTGAACATTGTGGTTCATGAAAATAATTGAACATTATTGCATGGTAAGGAATGACCAGTAGGGACAGTTCAGACAAACACAGGAAGACTTAGATGACCTGATGCAGTATGAAGGAAGCACAGTCAGGAAAGCAACATATTCAATGTCCACAGTGATATTAACGTAAAGTGTAATAAGATGCAACCCAATGCTGGGTAATTACAATGACCCAGCTTGGCCTTGGAGAAGAGATGAAAAAATGACTTTTCTCCTTTTATTGGTGAGGTAGGGGGGCTAGGGAGGGTACAACTCACCCAAGGTCAGGCTGCTAACCAAGATTTGGTCTGTGGTCCTCTCATTCCTAATTCAGCTCTAAAAACATGCATCTCAAAACATGATTCTGAGAAGGGGTCCTCAGGCTTCACCAGACTGACTTCGACAGGAGTCCAGGACACCAAAAAAGTCAAGAACCCTTGTCCTACGTCAATTCACATTTTTAAAGCACTTACAGCTTTACACAGTATACTTTCCTCCTGACAACTTTAGAGGTAGATGATATGAGTGTACTCTCTCCATTTTACAGATGTAAATACTAAGACTCAGCAAGTTTAGACTATCTGTCCAGGATCGTACATTTAAGTGTCAGGAGTTGGGCCTTGAATTCAGAGGTTTTTTCTTTTCTTCTTTTTGGTGAGGCAATCGGGGTGAAGTGACTTGCCCAGGGTCACACAGCTAGTAAGTGTCAAGTATCTGAGGGCAGATTTGAACTCAGGTCCTCCTGACTCCAAGGCTGGAGCTCTATCCACAGTGCCACCTAGCTGCCCCGAATTCAGGGTTTTTGATTCTAAGGCCAGCGCCCTCTCCATGGTACCAAGCCTTCTAATCTAGGCTGCCTCCTCCCAGATACCACATTCTTCCTGCCGACACGTGGCTTGCCTCAGGAATTGAGAACAATTTAGAAAATCTTATGGTGACCACCCTGGTAGCTGGTGCCTCCAACCAAACATGTATTAGAATGACTTTGGAATTACAGGTCCAGGAGAGAATGACAGTGAGAAAGCAGCCTTCACCAGCCAGCCATTTCTCTAAGAGACAGCTTGGCCTCTCTCCTTGACTCTGGCTCTAGGGAAGAGGTGGTCAGACATTCTCAGGGACTCACAGGAATGGCTTACTGGCTTGCCTGATTAGGATAGGCAAA